GTCAAGCGATGCTCTTGATTCTGAAAAATGTTCACATACACACGTACACGGCACGCTCACTGTAGTAATGAACTAACTCGAAACAGACTAGTGTAGAGTGGAAATAGGAAATAGGATTCCTCACATGTACATGATTATCACGAGAATGCAGCGCACAAAAGAGAAACACAAGTGAAAAACAGAACTCTGTTTTAGCAGCCTGATGTGACTTGAAAGAGGGCTCATGTGCTGCAGTAGATTTAAAACACTGTACACACTTGTCAACACATCGTGGATCTCAGAACAAATCTGTCTGTGAATTTTGATACATATTTTACCTGTCAGGAAAAAACCTTCCATATTTGATTTTCTCTGACAGGGTTACTCGTAAATCAAAATGTTGTGTATTTTTTAAGAGCTGTTCCGGTTATAGCCTGACTCTCTGTCATCTAAAAGCAGAGCTGGAGCTTTAAAGGAAAACCAACATTTCAAGCTTGTTTACTGTCTTACCTGCAGTCAGATGAGAAGATTGACAGTTTCAACACTTTTTGTCCAGTGTAAAGATAAATTTAGGACGTGTTTAGCCTAGCTTAGCACAAAGAATGGAAGCAGAGGGAAACTGCTATCCTGTCAAAAGTGACAAAAATATGCCTTCCAAATACTTACTCTTACTTACATACTGTAAGTGCTTACTTACAATATTCTGTATCTTGTCAGCTGTCTGGTCACCAGTACAGTCAAGGCTCTAATGTGCAAGTTAACTGTTCCTCCTTAAAGTGAAAAAAGTTGAATTTGACATTTTGGTCTCATTTCTGTCTTTTAACTACTGCTAGAGACAGGAGTTGATTAGCTTAGCTTAGCATAAAGACTGGAGGCAGTGGGGAGAACAGCTTGCCTGGCTCTCTCTAAAGCTCAAAAATAAACATTGTGTAGCTTATTTTCATTTAATTTGAACATAAATAGAAATGTGACTACAACATTCCTTTAATACAGGGAGTCTGTAGACACTGACTTTATGTTTAGAAACAGTTTTTGACAAAGCTCCACTGTATTCCTGACCTGTGTTGTAGACCAACCTAGACCAATAACTGCTGTACACTAGACCTAAAATACCTGGACTCACAGAAGGTAGATGCAATTTTTGTCATAGTAGGAAAAGCACAGTTGTTATTAGTAACAATGAAAATGGCTCTGTTATATTCAAGTGTCTCAGTGAGTCATTACAGTGTGGCACATTTATTATTAGAAATGATCTCTATTAACTTTAAGGTTAAGTACTACAGTCAAGTCAAGCATCTACCAATAGTAAACAACATGACTATTCACTAAAACTATGGAAAAAAAACAGGCTGGTGTGTCTTCTTCAAAACAAAACTGCTGTTTTGTGTTAAAATAATGCAACATTATTTTGTCTTCATTTGTGTCCGTCAAACTATTGGCAGAAATATAATATAATATTCATTTGTATGTTTTCATCAGTGTATAATCACCCCAAAATAACCCATTGTTATGTTTTTGTTACCTTGAAATTAGCCTTTTTTTATCTGCAGAGGTAGCGGGTCCTCTTCCATGGAGTCAGCCATGTTAAACTGCCATTTTTCTACAGTAGCCCAGAACAGACAAACCAAACACTGAATCTAAATTGGGGAGTTTGCTTTTTTTTTTGCAAATTTCACAGTTACCGTAATTTCTCCCATACATTCTTGGAACAGGAGGATGAACCGAGGGGGTTGTAATCTGCAACTACTACACTAAATCTTACACACTGGTCCTTTAAATGATCCTGTGGGCTAAACAAATGGCACTGAGAGTTTGTCAAACTTTATTTCAGCATTGCATAAGGTTTCTGATATGAAATAGCCTCATGCAGAATAAG